TCTATTAAAAAATTTTATTTTTGCTTTTTAAACTTTTTGTTAAAAACTAAGACACAAACACACACATCAGCCTAGGCCTATACAGGATCAGGGTCAGGATCACCAATATCACCATCTTCCACCACCTGGAAAGTCTTCAGGGGAAATAACAGGCATGGCGCTGTCATCTTCTATGATAAAAATGCCTTCTTCTGGAATAACTCCTGAAGGACCTACCTGAGCTGGTTTTATAGTTAGCTTTTTTTTTTTAATAAGTAGGACTACACTCTAAAATAATGATTAAAAGTATAGTATAGTAAAAACTAGGCAACAGGAATTTTTCAGCTCCATTATAATCTTATGGGACCACTGTTACATATGCGGTCTGCCATTGATCAAACTTCGTTATGTAGTGCTTGACTGTACATATATGCATAATATGTATACTATATATGTGTACAATTTTTAGAGTAAATTGCAGCTATCAAACCCATTTACTTCTAAATATCAATATTCCTGTGCTATGTTTCCTGAGAAAAAAGACATTCTCTTACATAACTACGTCATAGTTATCAAAATCAGGAAATTTAACATCAATACAATAGTATTATCTAATCTATAATCCATATTAAAGTGTAATCAATCATCCCAATAATGTATTCATAGCTACTTTTTCCAGTCAAGGATCAAATCCAGGGTCCTGTCTCTTTAGTCCCATTTAATTTAGAACAGTTCCTCAGACTTCCTTTGTGTTTCATGACCTTAACATTTTTAAGAGTACTAGCCAATTACTTTATAGCAATATAACCCCAATCTTTTTGGCACCAGGGTCCTGTTTCATGAAAGACCATTTTTCCACAGACGGGCGGGGGGTTGGGGCGGGTGAAAGACTGAGCTCAGGCGGTGATGCGAGCTATGGGTAGGGGAGCAGCTGTAAATACGGAAGAGGCTTCCCTCACTTGCCACCCCTCCCCTCCTGCTGTGCGCGCCCCTCTTTCTAAATTTCATGGAAGACAATTTTTCCAAGGATGGGGGTGAGAAGGAGAGCGGCGGAGATCTGCGACCCGTCCCTAACAGTCCGTGGACTGGTACCAGTCTGTGGATCAGAGTTTGGGGACCGCAGCTTTATAGGACCTATTTTACTCTGAGATTGTCTGGTGCTTCCTCAGGTGAGATTTAGGTTATGCAGTTTTGGCAAAAATATCACAGAAGTGATGCTGTGTCCTTCCCAGTGCATGTGATTAGGAAGCATATGATGTTGGTTTGTCCCAATATTGGTGTTATGTCTGATGCCTTGCTTAAGGTAGTATCTGTCACATTTATCCTATAAAGTTACTATTCTCTCTTTTGTATAAGTAACAATGTAGAGTGTCACTTTGAGGCCATGTAAATATCCTATTTCTTATTAAAGTTTTCCTGAGTGGTTTTAGTATCTATTGTTTATTTCCTAATTCCATCATTCCTATTGTATTTATCAGTTGGCATTCTATCGTAAGTGTTTTCCTTTCACTTCTGTTTGTTTGTTGTTTATATTAATATGAACTTATGGACATTTATTGTATTTGGTGGGTTATAATCCATTACTATTCATCATTTATTTTAATGCGAAATTGTCTCACATTTGGTCAGCAGGAGGTTCTTTATGTTGACTCCTGCATTCTTTTGACATGGCCACGTGATTCTTGGAGTACTTCCTTATTTCCTGGTGCCACAATATGTTCTAGTATTTTTGTTTAACTGGTTTTTAAATGACTTTTATCATCTCTTTGTGTGCCATGTGAGGAAAAAATAATGCACATGTGACTCGACTATTTGCATAGAAATC